TCGTTGCCGTGGGAGTCGCCGGAATCAGAGCTACTAGAGGAAAGCTCAAAGTCTGAAAAGACAGAATCCGCTGGAACGAGCCCAAGAACAAGCGAATCCCCCGACTGAACCTTAATGTGATGTCTGCGGCTCTGACCCCCCTGCACAACCAACCGCCACCCTTGCGGAGGGTCGACTGGGACGAACCGCTGAAGGGTGTCATACCCAAGCTTAGGATCATCGAGAATAGCAAACTGAGAGGCACCCATAACCTGACGGAGATCCAAAAAGACAACGAGCGGGGCGCCTCCAGCCTGCTTGTCGATCAAGGCAACGACACCGCGGCAATGAGAGCCCCTGTAGGAAACACGTTCCAAGTGACCCTCAGTGGGAGTCATGAAGTGAACCGAATGTCTGGGAACTCCGACAAAGTCAGTGATTGCATGCTCTAGGGGTTCAGGGCCAGGATTGACACGCCCGAAGAAAAACCTCCCGGTGTGGTGTAGCAAGTTCAGGACCCTTGCTGGCCTGACAGCAGGCCAGGTCCTACTGTCAGTCCAAGGTGCAGTCGAGAGGAGTCTATTGCGCATAGGTGGCGGGTATGTAGGGCACTCCCGACGGCTGCTGAAGGTGACAAGGCATCCGTTATCAAGAGAGACTAGCTCACCCGGTCGGAGCGGAGTCTCAGATGTGCCGATGAACACGAACTTCTCTTGAGGCATGGAGTAGAGGCCAGCCTCTCTGCAGATCTCTTCGAAATTCGTGGGGCGCGTGAGGAAACACGCGATGATTGGCCCCTGCCCATCAAGGGGCATCCTGGTGAGATCCAGAACAACAGCACTGGCCCCCGCATGAGTCGTCCACGGCGGCAGCACGATAAAGGTGGAAGCCGACGTACACGGCTGTGGATCGGCAGCGATGACGACATCCGAATACGGGAGCCTGAGGGATTGCAGGTGGCGGGAGACAGCAAACTCCGCATCCCTGACCTCACATGGCAACTGAAGTGGCAGAGTCAGGGCCTCGGGTTGATAGCCTGGAGCAACCACATAAGCATCGAAGTCTATGACTTCGTGTTGTGCCGCAGAAGGCTGCGCTGGGATGGTAGTGACAGAAGGAACTCCACGGGGCCCCCTATTCTCTGGCTCGAGAGGAGCACCGGCAGGCTCGGTCCTGGGGCATGCTGACGCGGCAGTCTGTGGGCAGCCGTCGTCATTCCACCCAGCTTCCGTGAGCGCTTCAGCCTGGACCTCAGCGACAGTAGCAGCCCAGGACTGCTGTGGATCATTGGCTTGTGGAGGGGCTCCATGCGGGCTGTTTCGGCCCTGGTCTAAACCCTCAGGGAACAGCGACCCGATCCGTCGCACCTCCTCAAGGTTGTGTCGGAAGGAGGGCGGCATACCCCAAACTCCTATAGGGAGAGTATAAACCCCAATGAGGACCCTAAGGAGACACCACAGGCTGCAGGCCCCTCTGGTGGGGGGAACTAGACAAGCCCTCTTAGATCGACAGCGGCGCGGCTGCCAGATCATGGCAGGATAGGCTGGGCTTGTAAAACCACAAGCAGCTAACAGGCAAGGCCAGGGACCCTGAGCAAATCCAAACAAAGCGGTCCAGAGCAGGCGGAACCGGCCTGGGACCTTCCGGCCAAGTGAACCCCACAGGGCGACAAGAAACAAAGCCTGCAGCGTGATGAAGAAGGCTCGTAGGTAGACCCCAGTCTTAGCCAAAAGACCTTCGAAGCTGAGGCGATCGGTATTGTGTGGCCGCTCAAAGAGAGGGGGGCCTAAACCACTAGGGTACCCACAAGAGGGAGGGTCATGACCCAAGGCAGGGTTGCAGACACAGCAATCAGGAAAGAGCGAGGCTCGTGCCCCTGAGCCACCGATGCACATATTTGGCGCGCTCGTTCTAGTCCTGAAGCCGGTCACACAGTTGGCAGTAATGGACAGCTCACAGGCGGGATGACATGTAGGCGGAGGAAAAGTCCAAAACTCCACTGGGGGAAGAGGGGGGGAACGCATCTGCAGAGCCGCAGAGCCGAACCTGGCAAGAAATCCACACAGGTTGATTGGGAGGAGGACGCAGCAGCTTATCCATTCAGACTCCTGACACCAACAAAGTACCGAAGTACTGAAGCCCCTGGGTGCCAAAAAGGCGTCTGTACAGCAGAGTGAAGAAGGAATCCTCACACTCTCACTGGCAACTCCAGTCCTCTGGGGACTCAATCCGACGGGCGACTGTGCCGGGGAATGACCCAATTCATTCCAACGGCACCGGCCCACCAGAGAATCGACAGATAACTGAAAGCCACCTAGAAAGGGAGGATGCCATGAAAAAGCTACTTTGCGTTCATGCCACCTGTCACCGTGTCCTTGTCGGCCTTGTTCGAGGGGCTGCTGTAGCGGGCATCCCAGAGCTCGGCATCCTCTGCTGGCTCCACATGAGAGCCCTCGGCCTGATTGGGGACCGGGGGTCCCACGCCAAAGGCTCGGAGAGCCCGCTTTTGCTCCACACGCTGCGAGAGGGACATGGGAGCCTCCGGTCCAGGAACAGCCGCCGTGCCATGGTCCGAGCGGCCGTGCTCGTAGGGGTTGACTCTGGCGTTCGGAGAAATCCCACTGGATGCTTTGTACGTGGTAGCACTCGGTGAGGCCTGGAACGGGCCTGGTGCGCCCCCACCAAAGTACAGGGCGGATCCCAGTCCTGGAGGAGGGACATTCGCTGCAGGGGGAATTCCAGCACAGGCGCCCGCAGTCGTATCTGTCCCTCCATGTGGAGGTGCCCCACCAGTAGGGATCCCCGGGAGGACCGACGGTTGCGGGCCCAGAAAAGCACCAAGCCCTAAGCCATCTCCTGAATCCAAGTGCAGAAGACCAGCCAGTTGCTGAAGAATCTCCGGGCGGATGCGTCTTGTCGCACCCGGATGTCCCTGGCCAGCCCTGGCCGACGCAAGTGCCTGGCTCAGGAAGGAGTCCGGCGGGTCGCTGGTGCTGAAGAGCTCCGTCCAGTGGTCCACAGCCATGCTGGCCTCTTCGAGGGCGGCAGGTCCCTGCAGGATGATCTGCTTCACCCTTTCCGCGGCCTCCTTGCCAGCCGCCGTCGTGGACAGCACCTCCTGGTCTAGGCGTGCTAGGTCCTGCTCGTACGCCTGGCGGTTGCGGAGAAACTTGGCCTTGGTGTCGGAGGCGTACTTTTCCCACTGCTGAGTCTTCTGGACCTTCTCTGTCTGGAGCTTTTTGACCTTGACATCCATGCGACGGGCATGCGTCAAGGCTCTTTGCATCTCCTGCATAACCCTCGTGTTCTCCGTGTCCGGTGTAGAGCCAGATCCTGGCAGCTGGTGGTCTCCCTGCTGCTGGTCCAGAGCCACAGAATCGTATCGATCCTGGGGCTGCCGCTGTCTTGGCGACCAAGTACCCGGCCACCAATGCCAGTACTCGGAGCCCTGTGGCTTTTGTTTGCCTCCTCGTTGCTTCCATGCAGACTTGCCACCCATAAGGACAGAGAGCCTCTGTCGCAAGCTTTCGTTCGAAGCGTGGTGGCAGGCCAAAGCGATGGCCCTTTTGCGAGGGGGACAAACTCCTCGTCTCACCAGTGCCCTGGTCTGCGACCGGTGATGCCTCCTGCGGCGATGCCAAGCAGGAGAGGTAGGCACCGTGGCTCGAAACAAGTCGGCCTCTTCTACGGTGCTGGGGCTCAGCTATCCCGATCTCACGGGTCTTCTCGAGCCCTTATATATATATATATGTATACATGTCCCTCTGATTGTAGTTTTGTTTGGTTCAGGGCTTCGCCACTGGACTCCAATTTGGCTCCGCGGCAGAGCCAGTTTGGAGGGCTCATACTGATGTCCATTGCATAAGGATAGGATGAGCGGGTGGAGAGCAGCCCCTGAATTCAAAACCCTAAACCCCAAACCCTAAGCCCTAAACCCTAAACCCTAAACCCTAAACCCCTAAACCCCAAACCCTAAGCCCTACCCACCCTGAAACGTAAAGCCCTGAGGATCCTAAACTCCTAGACCCTAGCCTGAGGCCCGAGGCCCAACTATGGAGGTCTAGGGGTTTAGGGTTTAGGGTTTAGGGTTTAGGGTTTAGGGCTACAGCACACCCTTCGAAAAGTTTCTTAAATCCCGACCAAAACCTTGTCAAAAGAGTCCAAAGCCCCGTTAAAAACGGGCTAATAACCCCTTCAAGAGCCCTAAACCCTAGACCCTTTTAATCCTAAACCATAAACCCTAAAGCCCTACTCTACTTGTTCAAACCCCCTTAAATATCGGTGCCAGGTTGCCAAAAGGCACCACCCGGCGCCAGCTACGGAAGATGACCCTCGTGGCGGGGGGCCTGGGCCGAACATGGAGTATTTTGCACAATGGACTATCTGCTGTTGTAGGGTTTAGGGTTTAGGGTTTAGGGTGAATATATGTTGCTGTAGGGTCTTATAGGCGTGAATAGGGCCAATAGGGTTTTACAGTTTTTTTCGTTGGGGCTTCGAGTTCAAAGAAGGGGCGTGAGTAATTGGAATAGTATAGGAGTACAATATAGGGCCATAAGGGAACATAAGGGAATCCCTAAACCCTAAGCCTAAAACCGGAGTAGGATTAAGAGAAGGGTTCAGTCTAGAGTTGAAAGCTGTATATGTTGGTGGCGTTTGAGGGTTCATGGTGTGGGGTTGTGGTGTTTGGATTTAGCGTCCTGGTTTTTGAATTTAGGGGCTAGTGTAGGCGGAGATTTCGGTTTAGGTTTTGAATCAAGGGCCTTGGACTTATCCTTGGGAGTATGTGTTTCAAGGGTTGGGGTTTGCAGATTTGGGGTTTTAGGGTCTAGGTTCTGGTCCAAGATTTTGTGGTTCCATGTTTTGGGTGGTTTATACGGTTTAGAGTGTATGGGGTGTTCGGTTGAGCGTCGCCGGTGCCTGTAGAAAGGGATGGTGCTGAGGTCATCCGCCCAAAGTTCAACCAGAGCCTTGGACACACGAGGTGCGTGGGCTTGATCTTGATCCGGACCTTCAAACCATGGAACCCGGGAGTGCGAACTCTCCTGTTCGAACTCGAGCTTGAACACTGGTGTTCGAATTCTGGGTTTGAACACCAGTGTTCGAACCTAGTTTGGAACACCAGGATTCGCACTCAGAGTTCGAACATTTGAGAAAATAGAGTTCAAAGTTGTTGAGCTGGAAGTTCAGAAGTTCACAAACGGAGTTGAACTGGAATGCACGCAAAAGCGCCCCCAATCGGGCTGAAGGCGGTCTTCGTCTTGCCTCACAAGCACATAACAGGGCGTAAAACCCAAACGCCTAGCAGGTCGGATAAGGAAAAAAGGGGGTCGTGGTGCGTTGCTCTGTCCGTCTCCCAGGATACTGGAGTATGTAAACTTTGGAAGCTGGTTTTGCGGTTCTAGCGGTTCTACGGCTCGGAGTGTCCTCGACACATCCTGACCAGGAATGTCCGTAGAGAATGGCATGCCGAACAGTGGAGGTGATGCGGAAAACTTGAGGAATCAAGCCCAATCATCCTCAAGAAATTGCGGAAGAGAAGCCCCCACCAAACACGGCAGCGGAATACAAAAGCCTTCATTGCTGCCGTCATCATACTTCCCAGCTCGTTGCAGGATGCTCTGTGCGCAGCCCTGTGGTCGTCCCAGTGTGAGCAAGTTGCCTGGGGTTGAGCAAAGACTACCGACCGCAAAGGAACTACGCGGCATAGGACAGCAACAGTGTGAATAGTGATGCAAAAAATCCCTGATCTGCACGTACATGTAGGTACATGCAAGTAGCAAGTAGGAGCGATGCCCACAACACTTTGGTCATAAAGCAATGAACGCATATTCGACTGCAGGAGTTGGCAAAGCCACTCTGATATTCACAACGGTGGGCTGGTCAAAGACTGTACGCACCAGAATACTCAACAAGAACAAGCCTAGATCTGAGATATGTAAACAGATCAACTAGGAGTAATGGCCGTGCCACAGCAATTTTTCGACCTCCCACAGTATTGATGCAGCTTTTTCATCTTTATTGGCATTGGCGCATACAGACGGCCCCCTAGCACACGCACACACACACACACACCTTTACGGCTGTGTGTGGCTGTGTGCATATGTAACCAACAATTAGGGTTGGACAAGGAAGATGTTAGAGATTGCACAGATGTGAAGGAATTCAGCCACTCCTGGCCGAATCGCCACTACCTTGCTTTCCTGCTGTTAAAAAACCAGATGGGCTTCCTCCTAATTTGAGCAGCCCGAAGCTCTACCGGTTTCCCGGCTGTGGCTAAGAGTGTGTGCGTTTCGGGATTCAGACTGATGCGCGAGCAGACTTCACCTGTGCAATAGAAGCTTACAGCCAGAGCCTTCTCTCATCTCCAGAGGCCGGGAGTGCGCGCAGATCATCTGTGCGCTTGGCATCAAATCCGTGGTGTACTCCTCCGAGGACGCGCAGAGTCGTGTTTGGGAGGCTCACTCTCGGAACTCAGTTCGGCTGGGTGAGCCTACGGCCTACGTCTTACGTTCGTGAAATCCAGCCACGTTTCCCGATCTGCGGCTTCTATCACACCGGAGATTAGCCTAGCACCTTGCAGTTCTTTGTGGAGGCTTTGGGCTGTCGGGTGATGATCCACTAAGGCATGAACGACAGCATCCATCGCTGGGCTGGTTTGTAGCTTTACTTGTGCATCACGGTTCACCCTACAACGAAGCCGATGCATTGCCGATGTTGGACAAATCCGCCACTGAATGAATTCCCGTATTCGTACCCTGCTGACGCTATATACATTCGGACGGATCTTGCTCCATACGCTCCTATCCCTTCCTCAACCCTTGAGCTCCAAGAACCGGAACCGACGAGGACGCGCTCTACCGCTGCGACGCTGAGGCACTGCTGTCGGCGGCGCAGCCGTCCTCTGGTGCCCTGGAGAAGGGTTTTGGGAGCTTTGGGGGAGGCCTTCAGTTCTCTTGATCGGTGGCCCTGGATCTGTTCTTGTTGGACTGGAAGCTGCATCCTGTGGCGAGGTACTGTTTTCATGAGGCGTGAGGACCCGACGTCGGACTAGGTCAGATCTCGGGTCCTTTGGTCCTTTGTCTACGTGCGGGCGCAACCCCCGTTTCGAGCTGTGGAGATTCAGTTTTGGCTGGTGTTTGCAGTGTCAACTTGCTGAGAAGTCTTCAGGACTGTGGGGGTTTCGAGCAGAGGTTCCATCCGCACGCCCAATGAGGTACAGCTTGTAGAGGCAGTGCTTACCCCTAGCTTGTGCACAGTTTGCGACCCGTTCGTGCCGACCGGAGTGGAAAGAAGCGTCCAGTGTTGCCTAAACCTGAAACCCAAGACGACTCTACGGCAGAGATTTAAGCCCCCAAAAGCCGAAACCTTAAACGTTAGGGCTCCTTATTAGAAGGACCTGCACCTGAGCTGCTGGGCGATGACTATTCTTATTTTTCTTCTTCTGATTGTTGTTACTATCTTTTTGTGTTAGTTTTGTTATTATCGTGCTGAGAAGTATTAGCATTATCATAGCTAGTGATTGCTATTTCTAGTATTCTCTTGCTCCTTTTCTTACTGCTGTTACCCTTACTCTTACTCGTACCGGTGTCATTGCGCACCATGACTCCACGGTGCTCCAACCTAGCAGAAATGACTCGCTGGGCCTTGAAGCCCTTCCTGATTCCCGGCGGGCGATGCCTCTGAACGGAACCAGGGTAGTTCCTTCGAAGAGGGTTCAGTGTTCAGGGTTTAGGGTTTAGCGTAGTTCCTTGAAGGAACCTCGAACTTCGTTTTGCAAGTATCTTTAAACAGCTTTCGAGGCTGCCTGAAAGCATGTCCCCAACTTCTGCTAGCTCTTCCCAGAATGAAGACCATCTAGCACAGGCCTGTTCCATATGTTAAACAAAGCGTAATGATTTGGGACTAATTTAGGACCCACCCATAGCCTCAGGCCCGAGGTGGGTGGTTCCGGGCCCCATCCCAAACTCCCACGCAGCACTATTTACAGCCTCTTCAGAGGGGGGGACTGTCGGTGGAGCGGCTGGGCTCCACCCACAGCGGCTTCGGGATGACCAGTATGAGTGACGAGTGCCGCTGGCGAGCTTTCATGGTCTTGGAGTCAGAATATTATCCCTATGTATAACCTATATAGCTGATATACATATTACTATGCTTTGCCTGAAGATCCTATTCTTATCAAGCAGGCCTTTGTATTACAAGTGGCTATGGCGTGCCAACTCCTCGGAAGGACTTCGAACGTCTCCACGCTGTCGTAGACGAAGCTTTGACATACGGCACACGGTACTGGTTTTAAGGTTTAGGGCTGAAGCAGCTTAGCCCTAAGTCTTGGCATGTCGTCTTTGGTGAAGGCACAGGTAGGCTAGCGTTGGATGCCCTGAAAGTTCGGAAGTCCTGGTGGCTGAATCCTGCCGTCCATGAGAACTCGCTGAAGTGAGAGTCGTCGACCTCGATTGTGCCTGAAGGCAACATCCGAACCCGAAGTAACACCCTTTCCCACGAACCTCATCCGGAAACAGCCATGCATCTCGTATGCGGCCAGGGACGATGGCAGTGCCGAGCCCAGCACATTTCGGCACAGTCGCGTTGAACTTGAGATCCCCGGTGATCCAAAAGAGCCAAGGCCCTGAAGGCTTGGGAGCCGGGGATGAACAGCAGCAGAGAAGCTATGCTCATACTGGTCGGGGTTTATTCGGCAACACGGCTCCCAAAACAAGCTTTCGCTGCGGATGTGTCAGCACCCACTAAGCCAGCACCTCACTGTGCAATTCTGCTGGTCATAAGCTGACAAACGTGAAGAGGCCTTAAACCATGAACTGCGGAAACGTCACCCGTAGCACTCCTCTCTCCCGTTGAGAGTTCTTGCGGGTGCTGAGACTGTGAAGACGAGAGCGGCGTGGGCATGCTGACCCGGCTGCAGCAGGCTGTCAGCTTGGTTTCGCCCCAGAGTTTGAGTATACAGTATACTATATTATATACTTTTTTTATTATATATAGGATTGTGTACTAAAAAATGCTAAATTATAGTATAGGATTCCTCATCTGAAGAGGAAGCCCCTTCAAAAGCCACAGCAGTGCCGGCCTGATGAAGCGGCGTCCCTCTGACAATTCCCTCTTCTTGTCTACCTTATCCAAGGGTCTTTGAGTCCTGTGGATCTCAAAATGTTGCTTCAAACCCCAAACCCTAAACCCTAAACCCTAAACCCTAACCCCTAAACCCTAAGCCCTAAACCCTAAACCCTAAACCCTAAACCCTAAACCCTAAACCGTGTCATGCCAGGAAGAGCTGGACATCACCAAGATCAAGGCTTGCGCAGCTTCCACAGCTGTCGGAAGTCCCACCTTCACCGGCATCCATCTCGTTGCCACAACCAAGTCCCTAAAGCCAAAACCCTGAACCTGAATCCTAAACCCTGAACCCTGAACCCTAAACCCTATAGTGACCCCCAGAAAGTTGGAACATGGATTTGGGATGATTAGTGCTGGGATTCCCGATACTTTACCTTAAGGGCATGAGGATGATGATGTTCCAACTTTCTGGCTTCTACTGTAACCCCCACATTCTTTTCACCGATTCCCAGCTGTCTCCAGCCCAAAGAAAGCCCTGACGACCCCATCCTGGAACCGTCGAAGCCTGAGTTCAAGTCGGCAAACATAGAAGCCTCAACAAGTAATATAAGGGCCTAGAAAATTACCAAAACTATATTGGTGGTTCCTTATTATAAGTATAGTATAATGGACCCTAAATTCCGTTTTCTAATCATTAAGGCCGCTACATCGGTAATGTTCTTCCTTAGGGTTCCGTGGTACAGGTATACTAGAACATGACCTGAAAGCTTATTCTAGTTGTTGGCTATTCATATGTTGTATAAGCCAGTAACCCAGTATTCGACAAAACCGGAGCCCTAGATCCTAAACCCTAAGACAAGCAGGTGAATATGGATAACGAGAAGTATCTTCTCGCACGGACCTCGATCCGGAAGCTTCGTGGCGATTTCCCGCTTCCTCAGACCTTTTGGGGTGTGATAAGGGTTACTATATAAGGGTACTGTATAAGGGCACTATGATAAGGGTACCAGAAGGATACCGGCTAAGATTACGGCTAGAGGCTCACTCGCGGCTTCGGCGTCTCATCTTTTTCTTGTGGAGCGCTGAAGGCCCCTACGAGATCCTGCAAGGCCATGATACGGGTACCACATACGGGTACTATATAAAGGGTACTATGAGGATCCGGTTGTGCAGCAAGGCAAGAAGCTCTGGGGGTATTGCATCCTGGGGGAGGGGCGCGGAGGTTCATCTCTGTCCATCTCATACAGGGGCTCGATTGATCACAGGCAGCATTATTGTTACCGGATGTTTCCTTAACTAGACTAGCATAAAGTACTCCGAATCCTTATTCTACCTATTAAAGATGTAATGCCCCCCGCATGAAGCATGTCCTACGTGACTAGTTGACCAGGTTTGGAGTTGCAGGGTTCGGGGCTTCAGGTTGCCGTGTGCGACGCAGATAGTTCACAAGCTCCTCGCCAGTACAGGGATCTGAATAGTTAGAATTGGGCTTGGGTGTATATCACCCTGTAGCTATAGTAGGGAACCCCAAGCACCCTAAACCCTAAACCCTATACCCTAAACCTGCTTTACAGACCGTGGATCAAGTCGATGCAGGTCAACAGTGAGTAGGATGCTCATTGCTACGATTAGCCCCTTTCCAGCAGCAATGCCAGGCCGAGGCAAAGCCCAAAATTACAACCATTGGGAGAGGAACAGGACTGAGATGACCTGGAACTGAAGCCAGCCTAAAAGACCTGCACTCAAAATCCTGGTTTTTAGAACCGCAAGCTTAAAGCCTCGACCCTAAACCCAAGCCCCTGATTATTAAACCCGAAACCCTGAACCTACTGCTTTACCTCCTAACGCCCTAAATCTAAACCTAAACCTTTGATCCTTAAGCCCTCAACGCTGAAGCCTTCCCCGAGGCGCATCCGGAGATCCGCGACATGATCTCCGTGTTCGTCCACCAGGCACACGAGCTGCTGAGAGGGTCTTCTGTCATTCCAGTGCGTGTTGGTATGTACGTATGCATGCATGGATGGATGGATGTTTGAATGGGTTGATGGATGTACGTATGTATGCACGCATGCATCGCGGGTCCACTTCCCTCTCTCCTTATCTCTCCCTCCGCTGCCCGGGCTTTCTCTCTCCCTCTCTCTCACTCTCTCTCTCTCTCTTTCTCTCGTCCCCTCTACATACAGAAATGTATACACATACACTCATACCATACCTATCTAGTCTACATGCGTGTGTACATAGCACGGATAAACAGGTTGAGAGCGAGAGTGAGAGAGAGAGTCTGTGTGTGCACGCACGCCTAAGTGGTAGGTAGGGTTTTACACTGGTTTGCAAGACGTAGGACTCGGACAAATGTTTTGATTAAGCCGTCAGCTGCCGGACTGGTGCTGAAGTTGAGGCTATTTCTGCGCCTAGGAGTGGGGAGCATCACCCTCGGATTCCGTGGCTTCGGGTCACAAGAAGTCCGAGAGTATTCCACTGTGTCACGATGTGTTCTGTCAGATACCCGAAACCCCGAAACCGAAGCCCCAAGGCCCACACCCTAAGCCATAAACCCTCAACCTTGACCTTACAGGTACTGGAGTACAAGCCGGACAACATACTGAGGTTTGCAGGCGATTTCTTCACGAGGCCAGACCCGAGCCACGGTGGGTTTAGGGTTTTAAGGTTTATATATAGGGTGTTAGGGTTTGTATACATTGGTGGTTTGGGTGCCAAGAAGTTTTTACCGAATGTTTCGAGCGAATCGTTTTGCGACTGGAGCCTGATTTTTAAATTTGGGGCTGGCTGGCGCGGTGGGGCTGGGGCGACAGTTTAGGGGGTTCAACAATTTCTATTCATTTCTGTCTTGAGTGTTTAGGGGTTTAGGGTTTCGGCCTGGCCTGGTAGTTTTGGGTTTAAAGTTGGTGCACGTTCTGCGGCCCTTTGGGTGAGTGGTTAGTGCTGTATGATGGACCTTGAGCCTCGATCTGCGGTTGTGTGGAAGGGACGACTTGTACGCCTGCGTCAAGAAGAAGACGGAAGAAGCCAGATTCTCAGTTGAAGAGAGCAGAACAGGAGGTGCGGCACAGAAGGCTGCTGGATAGGTATGTCACGGTTTTTCCTGGGTCTTCGTGTGCTGCGTACGCACGTTCTACCTTTGCTTACCATATCATGCAGCTTTGGGATCGTTGCGGTTCCGATTAGAATGCTTAAAAGAAGCCAGCCTCCCCTCCACCCACCCCGAGGATCAGGAGTAAGGATGCGGAACAAGCTCTGCTCAATCGTGGTGGTGCGAAGACCGGGGGGCCTGGAGCGTAGGGATGGAAGCAGCGATCGTGGTGGTGGAATGGGTCGCGCTGGTGGTGGTGGTGGTGGTGGTGGTGGTCGTCGTCGCTGTCGTAACACCAGCAGCAGGAGTTGGAGGAAGTAGCAGCAGTAGTAGTGGCAGCAGTAGTAGTAGTAGTAGTAGTAGTAGTAGCAGGAGGAGTAGTAGTAGTAGTAGTAGTAGTAGTAGTAGTATAGGCTGCTACCTCTACTACTACTACTACTACTACTACTACTACCACTACCACTACTACTACTACTACTACTACTACTACTACTATCCCTACTACTACTACTACTACTACTACTACTACTATCCCTACTGCTACTACTACTGCTACTACTACTACTACTACCACCACCACCAGTACCGCAACTACAAGCAGCTGCAGGAGGAGGAGAAGGAGTGGTGGTAATAGTGGTGCTTATGAGACGGTTTGATATTCCTTGTTGGCTGTAGCAGTATCAATGGCTGCTTCTTTGCTGAGAGTCTCATTGGCAGTGTTGGCCTGTAGGTGTCGCGTGGTTGAGATGTGATCCCGGATAGTCGCCTGCTAGCACCATCTCTGCATCTGTCCCGATTTAAATGATTTACACAAACCGCGACAAGCCGATACAGAGAACCTTTGGAGGGGTCGGGGCGCCGGAACTAATTTGAGTTTCAGCTTAAGCCTAGAGGTCATTGAGGACACGGTTTAGCGGAGGGAGGGATCATTAGTTTCGGAGTGAATTGAAATAGAAGATAGATTCTTTTCTGTCCTATTGTTCCAAAGACACATCTGGGACAGAAACAGGGACAGTTAGTTTCACTTACGTGCACGGCAAGTTCGAAATACAGAAATCGCCGCGACCGAATAATCATTCGTCTCACCCGGAAAAGATGCAAAGATACATGAACTCTCTAACTTCACAAGATTTGACACATAAATCATAAACTTCTCTGAAAATAAAAACTGAGAATATACAACCCTAACAACACTTATTTTCATTTTCGAATATTTAATCACAAAAGAAGGACCAATCATATTGCATATGGCTACCTATGATTTTGAATTCATTCCTTTTTCGAATTTATATGTGAATATGACTTGAATATTCTATATACTTTGGCATATTGCTATTTGAAAAGCTAAATCTAGAAAGATATCTCTAGATAATATTCCATAATCAAAATTATTTATCATGAAAGAAATATAATATAGAATTTATTAATTCAGATAATTTCTAATAATCTAATGAGTTTTTATATTGATGAAAAATATATGATATAATTATAATATATATATATATATGATTTCAGAAATAATATATAGCTATCTCTATAGATTTTAATATATAGATAACTTAGATAAATATCATATAAATCTTCTTATTATGATATATTTTAATATTGATGAAAAATATATGATAAAAATTATATATATGATTTCAGAAATAATAT